CAAGAGTGGCAAAGCGCATCTCAATTAGGCTCATGCCCACAAGAAACGGACTATTAAGGAGTGACAAAAAGCCATCTAGAGCAACGAATCGAAGTTTTTGCTGTTTAGCACGAAAGAAGTCAAGTTTTGCGACTTCCCTGTTGGTACCAGATATCATCCGAGGTTCCATGTGCTGACGTGACGAATGCAGGGGGTGCGGTGATACTGCATGGCAGCTTCTGTGGCATAGGGGTTGATCACCTTCATCGGACCGAGGCTGAAATGGATTCCAAAACGCGCCTCAACATATGGATGACTGCTATCTGGCCGCATGCTCGCAGTGTCGCCCGTAGTGTTTCATTTTCCGACCCCAAGCGCAAAATCAAAGCCGCTCTCGCAATGGTTCCGCAACAACAATGTTCCTCCACTGCCATGCCATCGCAGTCCCCATACTTGAATCAGAGCAAAAATCTGTAGGATGATTTTCGGAGTCAAGCTGAAGGCCCAAAAGCTCACAACGAGTTCGAAAAGTCCGTCCCACTGAAGATCGCGTAGGGGAACCTCTACCAAGAAAAAACCCAATTCCGTGCTTCGCCGGTGTCAAGCCGTCATAGATGAAAACGGTTCTGCGACAAAGTGCTGATGTTGTAGTTGTTCGTCTGTTATTATATAAGTTATTTTGTTATTATTTTTGAATTTTAGATAGATTGAATTTCGAACAAGTAATATGGTATTGGACCGAAAAAAATTAAAAATTTCTAAATTAGTATAGAAGCCACCTAGACAACTGAAAATTTGCTTCCTTATCAGGTAGAGTGATGTGTTCTCACCTACAAAAAATCGGAACAAAAGCTTGAGTTTTGAGGGAGTTACGTTCTAAAAATGTGAAAAAATACTTCACTGCACGGTACTGTAGGTTTGTTTTTGATCTAGCGCGGCCAATAAGGAACTAAATTGTCACACATTCATATTATGTACAAAATCAAGTGTAAAATGTAATGTGCAAAAAATCCCAAAAACATATGGCACTCGAAAAGTACGATTTTTCTGAGGAAATTGCGCATCAAAAAATTGAAGACTTTCGGTTCCTCTCATCACTACAAAGGCAGCTATTCATTATTTGTTCGTCTTTAGTGTTAGCTTGCATATCAATTAACATGTCAGTTTCAAACGAATATACGTGGAAATGAACATGATCACAGCACCACGGATCTCTTTCACTGAGGGTCCTCTCTCACTGAAAGATCTCGAGCCGGTTGGTGGCGAGGCTACGTGGCGCGACCCCAGGTGGCGGATAGGGGTAAATCGCGGACCAAAAGCCACCATGTACTTGCCCTGAGACGCAGGTGGATTCAGGGGATGGACTCCCTGTTTCTGTAGTGCTGTGTTGATTCATACCAGCTGTCTCCACTCAGGCGTATCCATGCATGCTTGCGTGTGTGGTGCGCTGTGTGTGTGCGGTTGGTATCCTGCATGTCGGCACAGTCAAAAGC